AACTTCCTTGGATGTAAAGGATAGGAGGGTTTCATTCTGCTTTAAGGTGCCCGCACAAACATATGCTTCAGCCAGTGCCAAAACCAGGTCCTTCAACACCCAAGGAGAAAAGGCCTACAAGTGCTGCCTTCCCCATGAACTGTGAACTTTGGGCAGCATAGGTTGAAGGTTCTGCCCTTTTTGCCCCCCCTTCTGCTGAAGCTCCCAATGTGGCTGCTTCTTCTGCTCACCTCTCAGCCTGTCCCTGACTTTAGCATGCAGCATAGAGGCTGAGAGGTTAACCTTGCCTTGCAGCACACTGAGTCTTGGGGTCAAATCCCACCGTGGACTCAATCTGCATAAAATTTGTATGCCTTTGGCGGGTTTAAGGCTGTTTCCATCCATACTCCGGGTAAGTTAATTAGCATTTAATCAAACCGGTCCCAGAGTGTGTATGAGCATGACAGGGCTATCAGACTGTAATCTCCTTCGAGGACAGATGTAAATGGCTGTGCGTGGCATGCCTCCACACACTTTAGTGCCAGTGCTGAGGCTTTCCAATTTTGTAAAACGCTGTGTAATATCTTGGCACTACATAAACACGAGGAAACGAATGCCCTTTGTGAAGTGCTTACGATGATGTCATGATCTTAATGGCTGAAGAACCTCTTCAAGACAGGCAAATGCAAAGAGAATGAAGGAAAAGAAGAGGAGGAAAACACTTTACTCTCTACAGCACATCCGCAAATTGTGCCGACTCCTACAATATGGGTTAATCACACACTGCGGGTTCATTGTGTTTCACACAACAATACGGCCTTCTGTTTCTGCTGACAGGAAATTTATTTTGGACAGCAAACAACATTTCTGCGGCTGTTTTCACTGAGCTTGTCTTTCTGGTACACAAACAATGAGCAAACAATATCAATTCTCTTGATAAGTGAGAATTTTCGATCTGCTGGAAACCGCTGAGCGGCTTCGAGTGAAAGCAGCCAATAAAAACGAAGCCTATTGAACATTCGCTTCTGGAATAAATGACCAGAAAGTCTCATGTACAAGTTGATTTAAATAATTTGCAACTATGAATAACAGCTGGCTAAATGTTTGTTAACATTTTCTCTTGTTATGATTGCTTATTTTCATGTGGAATATTATTGTCTGCTCTTAGCCATGTTGAAAATATTATAAACTGGCCAGACATGGCAGGATTTAGTTTAACCCAATAGGATGTTCTTATATTATATTTCTGGGTGGATAGCTAGATTCATGCTTTGCATTTTTAATGTATAGGACAATTCACAAAAACAGTGCAAAGAGCCTAAAGTGCAAAATTCAAACCAACCAATCAGATTTCATCTTGTACCGGATGGATATCAGTAAAGTGAACTCTAACCGGCTGCCAAAAGTATTTGGGGAGCCTCATTCACGCTGCAATGTAGTGACCTGAATTGCATGCGGAATTTAGTTTCACCCAATACGTTGATTCTTTGTGTGGCCAGCTATAGTCCAGCTTTGCATTTTTATTGTACAGAACAATTTATGAAAACAGTGCAAGGAGACTAAAGTGCCATATCCATACCAACCAATCAGAATTCATTTTCTACAGGTTGAATTTCAATAAAGTGAATTCTAACTGGCTGCCGTGAGTTATTACACTGTGAGCTCAGCACATTGCTCCTGCAATTCAACAGTACAAAAAATGGCCACTGTCCCAGTCTATAACTGGCCTTCACAGCAAGGAGCACATGAAAGGGCGACGCATGTCAAACAACAACAAAAGAGAAAAATTCCCAGCTCAACTTGCCAATCAGCCTGCAAACAAACCGAATTAACCTGTCTAACAGTATGCATTAAAAACAGGGGTTTAGTTAGTACACATTTGCAAATACATGCGTAAGCTACAGAGCCTCGTCACGGCACCCCGATATTCTGTAGTTCCTAACTCTACAAATTTTGAGAGCCCCCATAGTAGAGGCACATGTATTTAATGGATAGACCAAGGGCAGGTGAACCTGAAGGAGCCCACCCCTCCTTAAAGGTATAGGAACACACTGGACACCCAGCAGGCTCTGTAGCTTACGTATGTATTTGCAAATGTGTGCTAACTAAACCCCTGTTTTTAACGCATACTGTTAGACGGGTTAATTCTGTTTGTTTGCAGGCTGGTTGGCAAGCTGGTCTGGGAGTTTTTCTCTTTTGTTGTTTGACATTGCTCCTGCAATGATTTACCAAGTAAGCTCTTGGGTTCCCCAAGGGGTTCTCTGCAACTCACACGTTCTTCATGCAGTCAGACACACTTAAAATTTAGGGTCTCCTCTTGCTTTCTGTCTCAGTAATATTGGTGGTGGCGTTAAAGTGAAATTAAAGGTTTAATAAGAAAAAAAAAAAAACCAAACAAACGTCTTATACTTACCTGCTCTGTGCAATGGTTTTGCACAGAGAAGGCTCAATCTTCCCCTTCTCTAAATCCCTGCCATTGCTCCTGATTCCTCCTCATCTTTTAGTGCCCAATAGCAAGCCACTGGCTATGGGGCACTAATGTACTCATTCCAGAGCCAAGCTCTGTGTGTCCATAAAACACACAGAATGGGGCTCAGCCCCGCCCAATCCCTCCTCACTGGCTGTGATTGACAGCAGTGGGAACCAATAGCCCCCGCTACTGTCTCTCAGCTTTTAAGGAGGCAAAGACCCAGGACAGCAAGGCTCAGGTAAGTAATAGGGGGGCTACAGGGGGAAGCTGCATACTGAAGGTTTTTTTTTTATCTTTATGCATAGAATGCATCAAGGTAAAAAACCTTCAACCTTTAGAGCCACTTTAATTATTACCCTGGCAGAGATACAGACCACTCTCTCTAAAAGTAAAAAAGTTTTGTGTTTACATACACTTTAAGATACAGCGGCTAAATGGTTAGCAGTTCCGCCTGGCAGTACTAGGGTCGTTGGTTCAAATCCCAACCAAGGCACCACCTGCCTGGAGTTTACATGTTCTCCCTGTGACTGCATGGGTTTCCTCCGGGTACTCTGATTTCCTCCCAAAGACATGCTGGTAGGTTAACTGAATCCTGTCTAAATTGGTCCTAGTATGTATAATGTGAGTTAGGGACCTTAGATTGTACCCCCCCTTGAGGGTTAAGGATTGATATGAATGTACAATATATATGTAAAGCGCTGAGTAAATTGACGGCTCTATATAAGTACCTGTAATAAATAAATAAATAATATATAAATAAGATACAGTCAGACACTGCTTTATTCCCGCACTATGTAAGAATCATTTCTGATTTAAGGCTCACTCCTACCTTTTTCCATTATATAGTACAGACCTTTGTTGTGCCAAAGCTCTCACTATTAAATATCACTGCTTTATTCCACGCAGCTTCATTGTGTCAATGTACTCTTTGGTCTGAATATCACTGCTTTGCTGGTAAGGGCTTCCAGTGGCCTCAAACACAATACCTAGAAGCCTCCTAGCCCCTTTCAGTGGCATTAAACAGGATTACAAAGTGGGCCTACTTTCTGATAGCTTCAACTGGACCTTTTCATGACAAACATTGTGAATGATGAGTATATTTCTGTGGTGCTTACTTTTATCCCTGGTTATCGTTTGGAAATGCTGGCAAGTATACTTTTGTAATAAAAACATCAGTAAGCTGGATAAATGGATTTTTTTCATGAATTGTGATTTAGATGTTCTGGGACAAAGCAGTAATTGATGAGTCAGGGACTGTCTCAACAAAATGTTGATCCAAGAGATATCAACTTAGCAGCAAATTTAATTTGATGCTTATTACTGCACCAAACACTAAATCATTTAGTTTCACCGCCAGGATCTTAGCACTATTAAGGTCAATGCCACCAGTATAAGGAAACAGAGGAGGAAACTTTCAGTACTGACAAGTTATCACAGTTTGAAAGGGTTAGGCATAGTGGGGACACCACTGTAGTAGCAGGAAAGTGGTTTCTCCAAGGTTCCCTGGAGCAGCTTTCCAGTTGGCTACGCTATATGCGGGTGACCCTGGTGGCCATCTTGGGTCATGTGGTGTCTTTTTAAGTCTGCCCCCAGGTTTTTGGCACGCATTTGCAAAGTGGCCAGTGTAGGAAGAGAATACATGCCTGTCAAGATCAGAAATAGGAGTAAGGGAAGGTTTCAGGCGAGTAGGGAAAGAGCAGGGCCTTCGCCTAGACCTCCTCAAGCTCCTTCTTAGGTTGGACCAGCCAAGCTGCACTCCACCTCCCTTGGCAAGCACTTTCTTCAGCTCAGGCCTACTACTGCTGACTGCTGCTTTGAATGTGAGTTTACGGACAGGAGTTCCAGTCCTCCAGGCTGTTCTACAAGTTCTTCAATACAACATTTTCTGCACTTGGGCCTCAGTGTGAATACTGCCGCACGCTCCACTGCAACTACCCCACAAGTACGCCTCAAAGTATGACCGAAAACACTTGGGGAAATTGATCCTTACGCCAGCCCTGACTATGTCAGATGAACTATGTCTTCTGTTGCAGAGTCTGATAGGTGTGTCATAGCACTGAACCAATGTAAGTAGAGACTAATTCAATTAATACAAAGTGAAAGTTTTCTGAACCAGAGTTTAGTTTGTGGTCAAGATAGGTACCTGGGTTCTGAGCCTATGCTATCGCCTCTTTGGTCACAATAGTCAAACCGCCCAACAGATGGACATCATCTGGATATGTGATAAGGCGCACCTATTACAAATTTCCATTTTGTTTAAAAATGGTTTAAAATATTTATAAAAAAAAACAACATATACAGCCAACATATTTCAGGGGAAAATGAACTTCTTCGGGGCTTGAAAACAGAATTGTAATACAATTCAGATGAAACATAGAAAAGCTGAAATAAGGCAGGAAAGTTAGTGTGTCCTATCAGCAAGGTGAACAGCTCTGTCAGCAGACAGACTAAACAGCCTGCTTTGCTTATTCTATGAAATACACCTGAAGAGTAACAAGATGTCTGAAGCAAATAAATTGGTTAAGTCTTGCCACCGAGCTCTATATCATACCTGGACTGTCTGTGATGGGGGGAGTGCTGCTTGCAGACTTAATGACTTTCTCACTGTAATGCGAAGAAAGAAAAGTAAATTATTATTTGAGGAAGTAGACATATAAATAAATAGTCAAATTGATAACAACAACCAGATCAATATCATAAAACACCACAGGAAACATAGTAAATCATCAACTTAAGATACCTTTAAGGTTGGTTTTATGGTTATTTCTCAACCTAATTATGTAAATAACAATGTATCTACAGACTGGAGTGCTCAGTGTTGTCTGCTCATGGATGTCAAACATTTCCATACAATCTGCCCTTATTAAAATATCTGTGGGAAGTATGGTGTCAGACAGTCTGTGTTACCTCTGTCTTCAAAGTAAACAACCAGATTCATATCTGTACTAGAAAACGATAATTGGACAGTGACATTCCTGATTGGCTGCTGTGTACCAATAAAAACTGCCTGCCTGGAATTCAGCTTTAATAGCATTTGAACCATCTCAAACAGTTAAAGCAGAACTCCCATTTTGTAAATAAAAAATATGATTGTTTTTGCAAATACCTTTTAAAGTCTTTCCAGATATTCATTCTTCTCTCATTTTGGCCTCTTGTATGTAATCACTACTAAAATCTTGCTTCCTGCTGATTCCCTTACATCCGGCTATTTGACAGTAAACATTGCATAGCCACTTTTTGTCTTTTTGTCTTTGTCATTTAGCCTCCCCTCCCAAGATCTTGAGAGTAAATAGGTGACATCAGACCTTGCCCACATTCCTGATGGGCAGGACTGAATTTATCATAATTACAACAGAGACCTGTCTAGTAATGCCATCGTTCGGCAGCTATGGGCTGTGGGCAGCGATCACAAGTACCCCTTTTTACTATCCACAGAACCACCAAAAACTACAGGTGTCTCAAAGACTCATGAGAAATGTAACTCATGGCATTAGCTGCACACCAGAGTTTCCTCCTGGCGACCTGGGCTTGCAAGAGGCTTATGGAGTAAAGGGATGATGTCACAGGGATATTAAACATCATTTTGCAGTGATAAAGGCAATAATAATAATTAAAAAAAAAAACAAAACAGTGGTTGTGGTGTAAGCTGAGTGGGTAAATCCTGGAGTTGAATCATACTTATATGAACTGTCGTATTTGCCAAAAGCTTTGAAATTCTTATGATTCATTCGCCTTTCCCAGACAGGACAGCCAGGAGGGTGACACCACTTTCTTTATTATGGAACACAGTGGTGTCAACTTCCTGTTCACAGCTCACTGGTTGGACAATGAAAACACACTGGCCAGTGACATTCTGCTCTTAGGCATGCCATAGATAATACGATTTTCTTTCCTTCCAGCACGAGTAGACCACACAATCAGTGTAGATGGGGGAATGCCTTCCACAGCGCTATTGTGTTCTGCTGGCAAGGAGCCTTACTGGCCAGCAGAACACAATGGCCACTGCTGGCTGCTTTGGCCGCTGGCAGTGATGGCATGCAAAAAATCCACCAGGCTGGTTGTACTGAAGTCGATTAATTATAGGCAGGCCACACATTAAGACATTTTTATTTCCCGTGGTTGCAGGAAAGAAATTTCCTCAATTCCCCCATTAACACTGAATGTATTGATGAATCCCCCCTGTGGTGTTAAGAGTTATTGTATTCTGACAATGGGAGGTTTCCCAGCCATCAAAATACAATGATCACTGCCGGCTACAGCCACCACCTGTGAGAACTCAGAGATCAGCAGTCATGTGATCACTGAATTCTCATACTTAAGAGCCGGCGGGGGACCGATGCTGCATCCACCTAGGTAAGTAAAAATAGAGGAAAAAAAGCCCTACTTCTCTTTTAAGTCAATCAACGGATCAACTTCAGAACAACCAGCCTGCCCATAGATGGATCGAATCCTGGCCAGTCACTGCTAAATTGAGATTCGAGCCATCTATGGCTGGCTTTATTCTTACCTAATGTCTTTTAGGGGCAAGTAGGTCTGTTTATTTTGGAACACCAGTAAGCAGCACAACCATAAAACAATCAGGAACAGAGGAACAATGGCAGCTGTCTGTTACTCCAAGTGTCCATGTTGACACTATTGCTCAGACAACACTTGGCACACCAGCTGTTGATAAACCTAACGCTGTGATGATCCACTAATTGGAGATGTGTCAAACATGGCACCTTCCCTCTTTAGAGCAGGCAGCCATTTTTATACTATTGAGTGAGGTCCCTCATTCCAGGACACTTAGCTGACTTGCTGGACAACCTTCAGTAATGCATGTAGGGCTAAAGTGGATCTAAAGCTATAAAATTTTTTAGTTTGGGACAAAGTAAGGAAAGGTTAGAACCTTCATCACCACTTTATTGCGGTCTGTGTCCCCACTTGGAAAATTTCCAATCTTTATTTGTCCCGGTGACCATTGTCACCACAACATAAATTAAAAGAACATCCAAAATGTCACAGTTCCTACCAGAGCCAGAGGCCACTGTTTTGGGGACAGCTGTCTGAGACAGGATTTTCCCTCACTTTGGAGGGAGACCTCCTTGTATTTCTTGTCTCTCCAGGAGATGAGGTACATTGAAATCTGCCTAACGGCACATTGTCAGTAAGAAAGCTAAACTGATTTTTAACCATATTCTATGCTAGCTGATGTGAACACAAACACCTTTGTTCTTGCTTCCCATGAATTAACCAAGAAACACAGAGGAAAAATTCTGTAGGAATACCGTAATTATTGTTGCTTCCAAGTGTTACCCTTAATAACCTGGTTCCCAACCAAGAGGTGTATAAAGTGATGGGGATCAAGTTGCTTATATTCACAGTCATCTAGCCATACCTACCAGTACCGGGACAATTTCTTCCAGCACCCAGGGCAAGGATGAAGAACTGCACCCCACTGTTAATGCATGCTCTAGAATGGGTTTACTGACCTTTGTCTATTCTCTACCTCCTTGCTTTGCTGTGCTCAGGGCAGCTGCCCCTCCTGCCCCCCCCCCCCATTTCCATGCCTTGATACCTACCGACTAGAAATTTCCTTTCCAGTTTTTACACCAAATGGTGGTTTAGTGATATAAAATCTGCAGACAATTAACTTGCAGAAAAGGCTATGAAAGCCTGAGCGATTATCTGAAAGTACCTTTAGGAATGGTTCTGGCCCAATTACTCTGCTGAATAGGTATCTACCACAACACCTCACGTAATAACCATTCCTTCCCAGAACAGTTGATTTCTCTTAGATTGTAAGCTAAGGGCCCTCTGATTCCTCTTGTACCAAATTTTATTGCAACTGTAATGTCTTCCTTCATTTTGTAAAGATCTGAGCAAACTGCTACAAATCCTGTGGAATAATAATATAATAATAATTTCCAATAAGAGCTGTGACAACACGCAGCCCTCAAGTTTTTAGTGAATCGCTATTGAGCTGAGGGCTGTACATTTCTGAATAGTCCTCCTCTATGAATAGATGTATGGAAGCTTTTCTGGAGAACCTACTTAATCATCTCAATATTACTGCTGTACATAAACTCAATAAATATTAACACAAAATAACCATTTAAAAATTCGAAGCCAGTACATTAGCATGCTATGGGTTTGTTAGACAAGTTAAAAGAACACATGCATTTTTAAGTTCTTTTGTAGCAAATGTAGGTTTTCATATATTGTGTTTATCTAAGCATGCAGAGCAACTGCAAGGAAGAAACCAAGTTTTATTAAGCAAGCAGGAATTATATGAAAGAGAAGGAACAAATAAACGCAGTGAATAAAAGCTGGTAATGGCAAAATAAAACTACATTTAAAGAATAACAGCCGTAAACAGCACAGGATTCATAATTTCAGGGAGAGGAACATATTAAGGTTTTATATTAAAATTTTAAAGTTTGTAAGTTTAAAATTTTATATGTTTGATGTTAAAAGTGAAACATTATATGACGTTAGTAAATTTGGGGTGCACAGTCTGACTTTCTGAAGATCTCCACAAAAAACATCAAAATGAATGTAAGTTAATGGAATACATGAAAAAGTATATTTACTAGTGTTGGTGCACACTTATATACACAATGACGTGCAATGTAAAGTGCATTGCAAAAGTGAGAGCAGTTCGTAACATGTTTTCACATTAACAGTTGATGTTTTGTGTGTTGCGATAATGAAGCCCATTCATTCAGAAGGGGCTGTCAAAACACAGCAATGAAAGAAAAACTAGACCTGACCCTTCTTTTCATTATTTCGTTTTAATGCACCACATGTACATTGTAGCATGTCTTAACATGCATGGTGGTAATTTAGTAAAATGCATATTTTACAACATGGAACCACAACACAGGTCTAAAGTCAGCCTGAAAGGTGCACATGAAAAAGAAAAAATTAAGCATCATCAAACTGAATCATCACCCAGTCCTTTAAAAAATGTTGTCCTTGTGGATAAACAGGGACATGGCTGAATGCAAGATGAAATATTAATAATGTGAATGGGTTTGCCTTCCACCATATTTGTAATTTCATTTTCTTAAAAACTGCACATTTTTCTTGAGAATTGCACATCTCTCCCACAATGCTCCACCAAGATCACTCTACTATTTCCTTTAAAGCTTCTTGTGTCACTAAAATGATCGCGAGAGAATAAACCATCGGTACAGTTATAGTGAGGGTGCAAACAAGCAGGTGGAGAGTGAGAACAGCAATCCACAAAGCTCAACCAATTGTCACTTGCCTAGCTGTGAATTGTGGAAGAGTTGTGTAAATAACAAGACAGGCAGAGCAGATTTAAAAATCCTTTTGCCAGGTACATTTATGTATTTCATCTAGACATTTCGCTTTTTATTGAAGCTCAACTGAGTGAACATTTTCTGCTGTTGACAACACAACCTATTGGTGACCTTTAAGAATTCTCCTATGAATATCAGTTTTAAGGGTTTTTATGCAAAGCAGACACTCAATCCTCTTCTGCATATGCTCTAGCTGCGTTCCCCCCAGCATGATGGCACTTGAGAAAAAAACAAAACGTACTGCATGTACAATGCAACTGCAAACCAGTTACAATATTCTTTATACCTTGGTTAGAT